AAAAAAAAAAAAAAAAAAGAAAGGATAGAGAAATAACGCGGCGCTTATAACGAAGGATTTTAAGTGATTCTTTTACCCGCGGAGAAAATAATCGTGCCGCTAAAAAAGTTTCTCCCCTATCTCCGTTCTCTTAATCCAAGTTTTAAAAAGTTAAGATAAACTCGCTTACGCTTAGCTCGATTGTTAGAGAGTAAGAATAATATTTACATGTAACGAGAGAAGGAGAGATATGATACAGCTTGATAAGTTACACAGCGGGGGTATATAAATGTACTTTACTTACCCTCTCCCCCTTTCCCCCTCTTCTCTCTCTCCCCCCCCCCTGTAACTTAAAGTCGTTTAAAGACCGGCTAAAACTTGGAAATTTGCTTTCAGATGTGCCTGATCCACCGGACCGCCCTCTCATATCCAACTTCACCTCGAGATCCGTGCGTCTATCCTGGGTGGCGAGTCGTAATTCTCATAACAACCCGATCTTGTACTACGTCATCGAAACTCAGTAAGTCCTTTAAATATTGACTCTACACTTACCTCCTTAGATAAGATTAGCCTTCACTCGAATCTCTCGAATCGAGGAAGGAAATTAATTTCGTCGGAACCGGAAACGAGTTTAAAAACACCACCAAGTCGTGTGGATCCAAGTTCGATCCGTGTTTTTCCCCGTGAATTAATTTCTTCCTCTTCTTTTCCCTCCCCTCCCCTCTCCTTTCTCTCCTTCTTTATCCATCGTATCCTCACGAATGATATTTCCTTTCGGCACGGCTCGGAAAGTAACGACACAAGAGGGACAAGGGGCGCGGTCCAAAATAGCCGTCTGCATTCGAGTACGTCTCGGAGAGTCTGATTATCTTTCAGATACAAGGTACGAGTTGGAGGCTTTAGCCCCGTGGCCGGGGAACGGAAACGGATAAAATAAAAGGAGTTACTAAGGGATAAGAACTGCGGTGTCGATAAGCACCCTTTGTTCTCCCTCGCTTCCTCCAACCCCTGTTATCTTCTCTCATCCTTCCTGCCCCTTTTTCTACCCCACCCACCACCACCACCACCCTCTTTCCGCTTCTTTCTGTCCAACACACCCTTCGCAGACCCTGCCGCCTCCTTCTCCTCTCGTTCACGTACGAGAGGGAGGAAGCCAGCCCGTCCCACGCTCTTATCCCACGATCCCCTCCTGAATTTCACCGATTTTCCACGGCAACGAAATTCGCTATCGACATTTCCGAGTGGCACGTATATATCCAATGACCACTCGCGAGGTTTGCACACGGTGAAACGCGCGCAAGGAAATTGGACCGAAAAAGGGGTGCGCGTGAAAAAGGGAGGAAAAGGGAAAGGGGGAAATCGTGGAAAAATCTTTTTGTTCCCCGTACTCTAGTTTACTCCACGCTAACCTTATCGCGAATAACTTCGGTTTCCCCGATCAACCTTTCGTCCCCGCGACGAGAGAGGGAAATTCGGCAGGGGCCGTAATTCTCATCCGTTGGACGTTGCGCGTAAATCTGACCGAGATAGATATTCGTGCGAATAACGTCGGTTTAATTCAATTTGCCGCGACTGTCATCGTTCTTCATTGGTGGGAATCTATGTACAGTAAACAACGCGAATATGCGATTCTTCTTGTCACTAGTGATTTTATCCCCGTGACAAATTTTATTTATCCGGAGATGGTAATTAGATTTCTCGTCGATGAGTCGAAGGGGAAACGGGAAAATAAAGGGAACAGAAATACACGGATACACGGACGCGTTGAGAGTTGTTGAGTTCGAATTTGCTTTTCGAAAAGTCAAGATTCGCAGCAATGGGCTGCGTTTATTAAGCTTCGGCTCCATTATCATTACCCTGTTTCCTTTTCCTTTTATTTCTTTTTATCACGCCGTCAAACGAACGAGATGTGGAATTTTGTACGCGCAAGAAAGGAAAGGAAGGAGAGCGTTGTGCGAGGAAGAAAATTAGTTAGAGTTTCTTTGAAAAAAGAAAGACAATGGGAGGAGGCCGCCCGCGTCTGCGGCTTGGAAAGTAGACCTTCGATTTTCATCTCTTCGTCTCGCGTTTTTCGTTTCGCGGCGGCCGACGTAACGCTTCGTAAATAGTTTTAAATTACGCCGCCCCCATAAATCAATCCTATAATAAGATTTAAAATCCGCTTCCCGCTTTCGAATGCCTTTCAATTTCTTCCCAAGAGCCGGCCCNTTCCCTTCCCCTCCCCTCCCCCTCGATATCTATGCTCGAGGTGCGCGATCCGATATTCGAATATCGAGATCGTCTCAACAACTATCGGCAGGCAATCACGTTTAACGGGGGCGGCGAAAATTTCTTGATAGCGAGATCAAACGTCACGAGCGACGCGAGAGAGAGATCGATCGCGATTTAATTATTAAGTTGGAATCGGACGACGCGGGTAGGGAAGAGGAGTTGGCACGTACGACCGTTCGTTTCTTGGGAGAGGGAATGACGGCAGTCGGAAGGAGGAGGAAAAAAAAAAAAAAGGAAAGGAAAGAATCCGACCTCCTCGGGAAGGAGGAGGAACAGAAGGGTGGGAGGAAGATAAAACGGAGGGTTCAGAGGGGACGGAATTCTTAATCAAGTTTCTTTTCCGATCCTCTTATCCTCCTCGTTCAACGGAGCCAGACAAAGCCGTGAGAGTGAAGAGAAGTTATAGGAAATAATATATCAGCCGGGTGTCGTTATGGTCGCCGAATATTGAAGTTTCGCCCGCGAACCATTTCGCCTTGCCGCTCTAGCTGGCAGGCCCTTTCAGAAAACTATCGTAATACCTCATAGAACTTGGAAAATATTAGTTTTATAATAAAGTTCGAACAAACTTCCTTCTTCGTCTTCCGTCCTCCTCCCTCCCTCTCTCTCTCGGTTCCTATATCTCTCACTCTATTCCATCCTTCCTCCATCTTTTCTTCCAACCACGCGGAGTTTCCATCGAAGCTACGAAGGACGGTCTACACTCATTTCGTCCGTTGGATTATTAATCTTTGAAGAAATCAAGCGGCGTTTTGACGAAGAACTCGTCCCAACGTTCCAACGACGATTCTCTCCTCCCCCAACAACTCCAATGTTCCAACTTCTTCTCGAGGGATAAGCGGCGGCGGCGGCGGCTCCACGAGCCTCGAATTAAAAATTGGACGTCGCCTGGGACCGGTCGAGACGTTTGTCATTCCAGAGATATCTCGGCCGCCTAATTGACCGAGAACCTCTTTGGAAATTTTACTCGATAACGCTCGATCGAACGATTCATCGATTTATCTCTCGCATCGTTCGTGACAACGATTACGATGACATTTATAATGGGGACTCCCTCTAGTGGCGAAAAAGAAAAAGAAAAAGGAAAAGGAAAATCGTCGAAAGGATTTTTTCGAACGCGGAAAGAATAAAATCTCTCTTAAATTCTCATCGAGAGTTTTATTTCTATGGGGTTTAATGAACTGTCGACGGGAAAGTAATCCTCCGCTATATTCACGCCCGTCGGACTCGACGGACTATCAATCTTCGTACCTTCACGAGGGAGCCAATCAATTTCCTCGAATAATTCATTCGCAGCCGTCCGTGTAACCCGCGTAATATCGTTACACTCGTTCAAACTTTCTTGACATTGGCCGTAATTGACTCGTTACAAGATCGCTCCAATTTTTCGCTTCGATCGTCTTTTTTTATTCCTCTCTTCAATAAAATAAAACCTTAAAATCGTAAAGAATTTCGCGTTGTTTAACTTCTTCCGAACGAAATCAAGTAGAACGTAACAGTAGAGTTCGAAGACATCGATTAAGTTTCCTCAAGAAATCGAACAATATCGCTACGCGATATTTGATCACGATATGTGACACTCTTTGCGTGAAGGATCGGGGTTTGTTTTCACTAGCTACACAGAAATCGATTGGCTGGAATAAAATATATGTCATAGGCTGCTTTGTCCCGATTCTCGTAAAAAAAAAAAAAAAAAAAACGGCCGAACTATAAACATCCACGTCGTCTTCGAAAGCTACAACAAGAACACGCGACAAACACACTTATCGATTTTCTTCTTCGTAACCGAGCAATTAGTACACACTACCGCTCGATACGGTGGAGAAAGACGAATTATTGAAATACATTATTCAAACACGGAGGTGGAATTCATTAAAACAAGGAACAGATATACCGTTCGAGCGGTGGAAAAAATAAATATTGCATAAGCTCGTTAGCTTTCGTTTCGAGAAATCAAAGAGTCGAGGAATCACTTTAAAAAAAAAAGAAGGCGGATTAAATCAAAGTACGTGACGAAATGTAATTCGCGTAAGAAAAGTACCGGTACCACGATCTCTCTTTTTTTTTTTTTTTTTTTTTTTTTTAATTTCAACGCAATAAACACGCGATTTCAACACAAGGCGCAAGCTACGCGACACGTTTTTCCTCCAAGTTTTCACCCTTCACCTTCTTAACACCACTTTTCCCTCGTTCCTTTCAAACGCTGCGCGTAGTTCTGCAGTATAGTAGCGCAGCTGACGCCCGGATGAGGAACACAGGCCGTATGAAAAATTCCTCGGGGCTTAATGGATATAATTTCATCGTGGAGGAACGGCCAGCGTTCTTCCCCACGCTCCGATTTGAATAACGGATTAATGACACTTACGTGACGCGCATGAGGAGACGACTTTGACCTCTGTCTCTCTCTCTCTCTCTCTCTCTCTCTTTCGAGGTGAGAGTCATCACCACTCTGACCCCGTTGATCGTTCATTAAGTGGTTGGCTCGTCGTCGATCAATTGTATCGAAAGAATCTCGTTAATTTCGTTTCGACGTCAACCGGCTATTGTACGGCCAATCATTGACCCGTTTCACTCGTGACTCGTACATTACTTGTACCCACGCTCCGATCAAACAATGCGCCCAGGGACGACACAATGGAGACGGATGACACTTATGAAAGTAACATCGAGAATGTTCACAGGCATCCCAGCCTCCTTTTTCAATCGCGTCGCCGATCGAGTACCCCATCGATCGAAATTTCGTATTCCACGGATATATTTCTCGATCATCTGCATCTCGAGCAGATGCGTATTCGATATACCGCTTTTGTTTCCAAGGAACATTTTTCTCGTCGTAACACCGATCCAAACGTCTGTCTTCTATTAAATTACGATTAAAATCACGCGAATCTAAATAATCGAAAGTTTGAAACGATGGATCGCTATTTATCGCTAGTGTTAAATGAAAACATCATACCATTCGATACTCCTAGAAAAAAAAAAAAAAAAAAGAAAAACGATTGTCTCGCAGTCTTTTATCCGAACAATATTAACGCTTCCCGAGTAATGTAATCCGTAGGGATGACACCGAAAGGACGGAGAGGATACCGCTCTATTATCGAAAATACAGGGCGAGTTGTCGAGAAGAGGATTGGCTCTCGATACGTTTCTTCTTTTTCTTCTTCTTCTTCGAGAGAAAGAGAGGACAGAGGATTAAGGCGGATAGCGAAGAAGGGAAAGAAAGAAGAAGGCAGAGGTAAACGTCCCGAT